AGTTATAGCACAGTCTTTCCTGTACTGAAGAGGTACACAGTTCAGGGTGAAAAAGCTTACAGGAAGGGAGTTTGCATTTTCCTGTTGTCATATGGGCATGGCATTTCCTAGGGTGGTCATAGTTGCACGTCCCATCAGTTTTTCCAGATTTCCCATGCCAGCAGATACCGAGTGCATAGTATGTGCACAGGCTTGGTTTCCGTTTGCCTTGGGTTTCTGTGACTGTATTCCCTGTTGGTGCATGTTTCCCTGTCTTACTTCTATCCTCCCTAGCACCAACATGGAGCTCCCACCATTGTTTTTGGTAATATATCCTCACTATTGCTAGTGGAGTCCTCTTGTTTTGCTATTTCCTGCGGTATTTCTAGTTTGCAATATTGGTTTATCTTATCTTTGACTACACTTGTTTCCCTACAGGGCTCCTGTCCCCTATGAGGTCATTCATATGTATTCCTTCCTGCGTATAATTCCCGACTACCTGGACAAAATCTCCAGCTTCACCATTACTGTCTCCCAGGACAGCATCTCCAGCTTCCCCATTACTGTCTCCCAGACAGCATCTCCAGCTTCACCATTACTGTCTCCCAGGACAGCACCTCCAGCTTCACCATTACTGTCTCCCAGGACAGCACCTCCAGCTTCCCCCTTACTGTCTCCCAGGACAGCACTATCAGCCCCCATTTACTGACTACCAGGACATCATCTCCAGCCTTACAGTTTGTGACTACATGGCCAGTATCAAGGGCAGTACCATTCAGCCCGGACTTTTTATGTTCCCATCTGTTGTAGAAAGCTTCCAGGTTTTCTATGAAAGCAGCTTTGATGTTGACCTCTTTTAATACCCTTGTGATTTTAGTCCACAGATTTATCTCATTTGGGCATACCCAAAAACACTTCCCTGTTTTAATACTGCTTGTAGCTAGTTCTTGGATATCTGCACAAGGGGCGTGACACCAATTTCCACAGAAATGACAATTTATGCATGTGGAAGCCCGTTTGTTTGACTGACCACAGACTACACACAGCTACTATACTAATAGCAGGAGTGTAAGAAATAAGATAGATGAGCTAAGATTAATTGTAAGTGCAGGAAACATAGATATTATTGCTATAACAGAGACCTGGCTCAATCTGAAAGATAGAGAGATGCCCTCTGAATGTCACATACAAGGTAGCAGAGCAGGAGATGCACAAATTAACATTAAGATCGACAACACTCTAATTACCAGACATAATGAGGGCAAATTCCTCGGCCTATACCTTGACAACAATCTGAATTTCAGCACCCATATCCAACACATAACCAAAAAAGTATCCAAAACGGTTGGGATCCTCTCCAAGATACAATACTACGTGCCGCAAAATGCCCTTCTCACACTATACCACTCACTTATTTATCCATACCTCACCTATGCTATTTGTGCTTGGGGATCAACTGCAGCAACACACCTAAAGCCAATAATAACCCAACAAAAAGCTGCAGTAAGAATAATCACTAAATCCCATCCCTGGCAACACACCCCCCCACTCTTCATAGATCTAAACTTACTCCCTGTTCAGTACATCCACACTTACTACTGTGCAATCTACATCTACAGGACCTTAAACTCCAGTATCAACCTTGACCTAAAATGCTTTCTTGATAGTTGTGACAGAACCCACAGGCATAACACCAGACACAAACATCTCTACGACATTCCCCGTGTCCGACTAAACCTTTACAAAAATTCAATGTATGTCAAAGGCCCTAAAATCTGGAACACCCTACCTGAGAACTCTAGAACTGCAGACACATTCATCACCTTCAAAACTACCATTAGAAAACATCTTATCTCCCTGATACACCCCGTCAACTAACTACACGAATACCACCTGGTGGTTCACACTTACACTCACTCACCCATTTGACCATAAGCAGAAATATTAATCTCAGTCTTAAAATAATGAATCCTGTGATACTCCAATACTGAAACTATGTACTGTGCCAAAAGAAAAGCATTCACATTGCTAAACTCACAAACTAGTATTTAGTCACTTAGCCATAATACCAACTTACCTCATAATTTGTAATATTTTAAAATTAAGAATTAAACTAAGTCTGCCTGAAATGCCTAGCCATGCTAGGTGTTCTAGTGGTACACTCTGTAATCATTATTTTACTACATGTAAACCACACAACCAAATTCTGTAAACTCAGCATTGTAATTCATATAGAGAATAAACTTTGAATTTGAATTTGAATTTGAATTTGCTCTTTGTCTTCTGGAGCATCCGGGACCTTGTCATAGTGGCCCAGTAGTTGGGACAGACAGGAGCAACCTGCTCTAAACCCATGTTGCCCTGGGTTGTGTGACTGATGGGTATCTAGATGAGTGGCAGTCTTGCTTCTTAGAACCCTTTCAAAGATTTTTATGATATGCGACGTTAGTGCTATCGGTCTTTAGTTCTTTGCTATTGCTTTGCTGCCCCCTTTGTGGAGTGTGGCTATGTCTATTGTTTTTAGCAGCTGTGGGACAATCCCTGTGTCCATGCTCCCCCTCCATAGGATGTTAAAAGCACATGATAGGGGCTTCTTGCAATTCTTGATGAACACGAGGTTCCATGAGTCTGGACCTGGGGCAGAGTGCATGGGCATGTCATTTATTGCCTTTTTGAAGTCATTTGGTGTCATGGTAATATCATATAGGTTTGAGTCTGCCAAATTCTGTGTCTGTCTCATAAAAAATTCATTTAGGTCTTTGACTCTCAGCCTGGTTAGCGGCTTGCTAAAAACCGAGTCATATTGGGACTTGAGTAGCTCACTCATTTTCTTGCTGTCATCTGTGTAGGATCCGTCTCGTTTAAGTAGGGGCCCGATACTGGATGTTCTTCTCGACTTTGATTTCGCATATAATCTTAAAAATTAAAACATCTAAGTAACTCAACTGTGTGAAAATCAATTACAGTAAAAGGAGATACAGTAGGGATAAAGTAAATTGAGTTATTTACATGAACATTAAAGAGAGGATCATATTACAGTAATAGGTACATGAATATTACAGTAGTAGGTATACATGTATGCTTTAGTAATATGTATATTTATGTTAACTATACAAGAAATCATTCTCTTCCATTTCTGTTGGTTTAGCACTTTATTTGCTTATAATAATATATAATTCCCTTTCTGTAACTTCATTCATTAGGTACCTTTTAGTTCTCTTCCTGAACTGGCTCATGCTATGACAGGCTTTGACATGTGCAGGCAATCCTTTCCATTTTTTATTGCTATACCTTAAAAGGTGTTTGAAGCCTGACCACCTACTATGGGTACTAAGGTGTCACGTAACTCAATCGCTAGCACACTCGGCTCACCCACTGAGGTCACTTATCAGTAAAATGGGTACCTGGGTGTTAGTTGACTGGTGTAGGTTGCATCCTGGGACAAAATGGACCTAATTTGCCCGAAATGCTCTGCATAACAAGGGGCTTTCTATATAGTAGTATGTCATTGATGTCGATGTCAGCTAGGATTGTATACCTTGTACATGTACATGTAGAAATAAAGATATTATTATTTTTATATTATTATTATTATTATTATTATTATTATTATTATTATTATTATTATTATTATTATTATTATTATTATTACAGTGGAACCTCAAATATCGAACTTAATCCATTCCAGGACTTAGTTCTAAATTCGAAAAGTCTGAAAAGCGAAGCAATATTTCCCATAAGAAATATTGGAAATACAATTAATCCGTTCCAGAAACCCAAAAATATTCACAAAAAAAAAATACATTTTATAGAGATTAATTATAGTTTACATACACAGAACAAATATAGTGTTCAATTATGTATTAATAAATATAAATAAACATATAAAATAACACTTTACTTACCTTTATTGAAGACTGGTGATGGCATCTGGAAGATAGGGAGGAGGAGGGAGGGAGTTGGGGTTAGTGTTTGAAAGGAGAATCCCCCTCCATGAGGACTTCAGGTATCAAAGCCCTCTCCGGGGTTACTTCCGTTCTCTGTCTTTTAATGCCACAAGGACCAGCTTGAGAGTCACTAGACCCCCTGTCTCACAAAATAACTGTCCACAGTCCTCTGTTTCTGGTTCCTCTTTAAGATTTCCCTAAAATGTGACATGTTTCTGTCACTGAACTTGTTGCAAAGATGGCTTGTTTCAGCTTGCTCAGGGTGGTACTTCTCCACAAACATTTGGACATCATTCCACTTGGACGTCATTCCGCTTCTGTATTATTTCCTTCTATGGTGTTTCTCACTTTCTTTACCACAGGGGTACCACTAGCAAATTTCTTTGGGCCCATTGTAGCTTATTTCACAGTCCAACAAGCACTAAACACAATGAAATAATCGTAAAATGTTTGAATGAGAGCACAGGTTAGTGTTCACTCAAGCATCAACAAAACCAGACTGGCTCACGGTGCCTGCATGGGGACGCGGGCAGAGCGGGCTGCCGGACAGGTCCGGTACCTGGCGGTTTGAAAATAGGGGTGAGTTTGATAATAGGGACAAAGTTGGTTCGAAAAAAGGGTTCTATTTTCGAAGAGTTCGATAAGCGATACGTTCGAAATTGAAGGTTCCACTGTATTATTATTATTATTATTATTATTATTATTATTATTATTATTATTATAATAGTAATAATAATAATAATAATAATAATAATAAAGTTGTGTTCCCTTTCCTTAGTAGTATACTTACTTGTTTAGGTTACCAACCTTGACAAACTTGGCAGGAAAATATTCTGGACACTGTTTATGAGCAGTTTTATAAACGTGATTTAGCTTCAGTTGCTTTACTCTGTCTTCAACATTCAGTATGTCTAGTTGTTGTAAGATGGGATGCCATGAGCTTTATATTGCTCCTGTAAGTGCCAACAGGTAATCCCTAATAGGTGTCATTGCATACATGTTTGTGTACTAATTTATTCCTATGATTTATGTTAACCTAAACTTTGCATTAATTTTTGTCTGTGTTTTTAACAGACGTAGTTGAAGGTGAAAAATGGGGGAGGTGCAGCTGTGGGTAAGACCAGAAGTGATGGAGCTGGGAGTGCTTCCCATTCTTCCTCCTGATAAGATTTCTATTGAGGTAATATAATACTATACATGAGGAGGAACCTTATGCGCTACTGTAGTTACTATTGTACTTACTACTACAACTACTGTTTATGTACTGCAATGCTACTACCACTCCTCCTCCTCCTCCTCCTCCTCCTCTTATTCATAATTCTTCTCTTCTGTCCTTCTTTAATCACTCTTGGTGATATTTTCCTCCTCAGGAAACAAGACAAGTCTTCTCTATGTTTTTTGATAATTTTCTTTTTTTCATCACTATTTTCATATTTTTTTAATTTATATTCCTTTCTTTTTTCTTTCTTTCATTTTTTCTTTCATTTCTTGTCCTTCCCTATTTTCTTCATCTTTTATATTTGTTTTCTTTTTTCTTTGTTTTCATTTTGCTGTTTGTCTTTTCTTGCTCGTTTCTTCTGTTTTACTTCACTTCTTCATCTCATTATCATTTCTACTTGTTTTATTCACCTGAGCATTATCTCTTTTTCTTCTCATTTCTTGCTTCTTTTTCTTCTTTTTCCTGTTTCTGTGATTGGTACTGTTGATTATTATTATTATTATTATTATTATTATTATTATTATTATTATTATTATTATTATTATTATTATTATTGTAGAAAAATATTATGTTTTCCAGTCAGTTTCCATATGAATATAATATAATATTATAATATAATATAATATTATAATATAATATTATAATATAATATTATATATAATATTATAATATAATATAATATAATATTATAATATAATATAATATAATATTATAATATAATATAATATTATAATATTATAATATAATATTATAATATAATATAATATAATATTATAATAGTATAATATATAGTCGCCTTAAAGTAGGAAGATTTGTGGTAATTGGCATAATATTTAATGCCTAGGCATGCTAGTGACTTTCTTTGTATGTACTTAATATTAGTAAGTAAGCAAGTAAAGTTTATTTCTTTGTAAAGGTTACAATGTGTAATTACAGTTTTGATTAGCTAAGTACAAAGATAGCCACTATCATGCCTATGTATTTCGGGCAAACTAATTCTAATATGTAGTAACAAATTAAAACTAGATAAGATAATAGTACATAGTAACTATACTTAAAACTAGATAAGGAATAGTGGTTAGCTGTTTTACAATCTTATTTAAACTTAATACAATCTTATTTAAACTTAATACAAGTAAGTAGGGTTCGGTAAAATAAGCTTGAAATTGCACACAAAATCTACCTTACAAGTAATGGTGCAGGTGGTAATATTTTATGGAATGGCAGAATTAAAATCCAGGAGGTCACATGATAAGACTAATTAGCAGATGTTTTGGCAGATTTGGTTAATATTGAGAAATAAGATGATTTTATGGATTGGCAGAATTAAGAGCCTAGAGGTCACATCATAAAACTAGTTAGCAGATGTTTGGTTGATTTGGTTAATATTGTGAGATAAGATGACTTTTTAGCAAAGTCCTAAATTTATAAGCTGTCAGAGGATCCTTGACCTGTTCCGGTAGCGAGTTCCAGATCTTCGGGCCTTTTATGTGCATAGTGTTCTTGCAAACGCCAAACCCTAAACCCAAACCCTAAACTTAGAGTGAGACAGCAGACAGTAGGGCTAACGTAGGTCCAAGGCGCAGGAAGACGGTATCCTGCACCCCCTCGCTAAAAAAAAGAACCCACACAAGGGGACAAAAAAAAAAAAGAGCTTAAACTGCTCACCACAGGTCCCTAACACATCCTAACCTAATACTATATATATAATTTTTAGACTCTAGATAGAGAGTCTGCCAACTTATTTTCTTTGCTGGCAAAGAAAATAAGAAAATATTGTGGTTCTTCATGGCTTGGAGATATACTAGAGGGTTGTGGTCACTATAGACAGTGATCACCTGCGATAATTCTATGTAACTGTATTTGTGTATACCTGAATAAACTTACTTACTTACTTACTTACTTACTTAAGTCTGGCCCACGTAAATATCGAAGTGCTCCAAAGCCAGTACCAGTGCGAGGGCTTTTTTTTCAATAGCAGAGTAAGCCTTCTGGTGCGGCTGGAACTTTGACAAGTAGAATGCTACAGGCTGCAACCCCTCGTCCCTGTTTTGCATCAGTACTGCCCCCAACCCCAGACTCACAAGCATCAACCTGTAATGAGAAAGGTTTGGAGAAGTCTGGAGACAAAAGAATGGGTGCAGTACACAATAATCTTTTTGCTTTCGTAAAAGCATTTTGACATTCTGGAGTCCAATTAAAGGGAACTTTGTGACTGGTAAGAGAGATAAGAGGGGCAACAATATCTGAAATTTTTTTACAGAATTTTCTGTTAAGCCCTATCATGCTTAGGAAACGTTGAAGAGATTTCCTATCATGGGGAATTGGGTAATCTTTAATGGTAAGAACTTTAGCAGATTTAGGAGCAACTTTGTCACTACCTACTTCATGGCCCAGAAAAGTAACAATGGCCTGGCCAAAGGAAGACCTAGATAAATTAACAGTTAAATGAGAACTTTGAAAGGTCTCAAAGAGAGCCTTAAGCCTAAATAGGTGTTGATCCCAAGTATCAGACACCACTACGATGCCATCTAGGTAAGCTGCCGTGCCTTCAAGTCCTTTAATAGCCTGATGGATAAGTTTCTGGAATGAAGAGGGGGAATTTTTCATTCCGAAGGGGATAACTGTATATTGACAATGACCTTCTGGAATTACTAAGGCAGAGATTTCCTTCGTCTTATCCTTCAAAGGTACCTGATAGTAAACTTTAAGGAGATCTAACGTTGACACAAAAGTAGCCTTATCCACAAAGTCGATTACGTCATGCAGACGAAGAAGAGGGTAAGCATCTGTAATTATGACCTCATTCACCTTACGGTAGTCTGTACACATACGAAAAACCTCCATCAGCTTTTTTAACAAGGATGCACGGTGAAGCCCATGGACTAGATGACTCCTCCAGTAACCCATGCTCTAACAGAAATTCTACCTCCTGCTGAAGTAGCTTCTGCTTTTCAGGATTAGCTTTGTAGGGGGAGACTTTAATAGGTTTAGAGTTTCCCACATCTACATCATGATAACCTAACGTACATTTTTTCGGCACATTCGAGAAAATATCAGGGTATGACTGTAGAAGCGCAGTTAGACTTGTTGCTTGAGTTTCAGACAGCCCCACCATTAAAGGGCTAGGGTCCTTGAGGAGGATAGAGTCTGGAAGCTTGACTTTAATTTCAGAAATAGAGTGCAAAGAGTCAGAGTCGTCCTCAGAGGTAGAGGACAGAGTCATTACTGGGCCTTTATCTGGTGTATGAAAAGATTTTAATTGATTAATGTGGTAAGTTTTAGTTTTTGAGGTCTTATCAAGGGGAGATACCACATAATTTACATCAGATAATTTACTTACAATTTGCATAGGTCCCATAAATCTAGCTTTCAAGGTGTGACTAGGTATAGGTTTCTGTACCAACACCTTGTCTCCTGGATGGAAGGAGCGGAATTGTGCATTTCTGTCATACCTCTGTTTCATCTTGTTTTGAGCTGGCTTTAGGTTAGCCTTGGCTAACTGATGTGCCACCTGCAACCTTGAAGATGAGTTGTAGAGTGTTGGGCTAATGTCTTCTCCCATCCATCCTTCTTTGAGTACCCGAAGAGGACCTCATACATTGTGCCCAAAGATCAGCTCAAACGGACTGTACCCGGTAGACTCCTGCACAGTTTCTCTTATTGAAAACAGCAATAAAGGTAGTGATTCATCCCAGTCTGTAGGAAAATGCATACAAAAAGTTCTCATCATGGTTTTTAATGTCTGATGGAATCTTTCCAAGGTGCCTTGGGACTGAGGATGATAGGCAGTGGATAAGTTGTGGATTATCCCTGACCTAGTTAATGCTTCCCTAAATGCTTTGGCAATGAAGTTAGTACCTTGATCACTTTGAATAGATTTAGGAATGCCAAAACAAGAAATAAGTCTGGTTAAAGCGTTGAGAATGGCTTTAGTATTAATACTGCGCATGGGAGTTGCTTCTGGGTATCTAGTTACTCTATCCATAATGGTAAATAAGTACTGATTTCCAGACTTTGACTTAGGTAGTGGACCTACACAATGTATAATTAATTCTGCAAAAGGTTCTTTATCAGCAGGTATAGGCTGGAGAAGTGCAGGTTTAATGGAATGTCCAGGTTTCCCTACTTGCTGACATTCTCGGCAACATTGGATATGATTCTTCACATCCTGCCTTAATTTTGGCCAATAAAATTCTTTTGTGATTCTATATAATGTTTTAGTAATTCCTAGGTGACCTCCTAATGAAGTATTATGAGCTATTTTCAATATTTGAGGTCTAAACTTTGTTAGAACCACTAACCTGTCTGACAGTTGCCAGCCCTCTATCTCCTTACCAGTCTCAGTGCAGATCAAATAGTCGTTTTTAAGTTTATACTTAACCGGATGATTCGAAAAGGATTTACCCATGGCTGCCTGAAAAGTGAAATTACAAGAAGGGTCCTTTCGTCGTTCCTCCTGGAAAGACAGTCCCTCTGGCATGGAAACACGGATATCTGGCAATCCTGCAATCCTGGAATAGGAAGGCTTGATCTGGGTCTGTTCACTTAATTTGCGAGGCCCTGGCCAGTTTTCCTCGTAAAACAAATTGGCTACTCCGAGATCAGAGTCGTCCAAGGATAGGTCAGCATTCTCGCCAGACAACCCTTGGATGTTGCCCGAGTTATGGCCAACACCGGAAAAGAATTAATCATTATGGGTTCAGGACATACACTAGCAGTGGTAATGTTATTACCCAGTAATAACATGACATCTTTCATAGGGAATCCTTCGGATACACCCACAGTCAAATATCCAGTGTAATATTTACACTGTACATAAATTCTATGCAAGGGGACAGAAAAGATAGCTCCTCCGAATGCTTCCAGCAAAACGGAGGATTGTAATGAAGTGTGTTCAGAAAGGGGAAGTACTCCCTCTCTTATAAGTGAGCAATATGTTCCAGTATCTCTAAAGGTTC